TTGCCCCCTCGAGGACATCGCGTGCGTGCTCTTCGCCCAAACAAACAACTCATAGATCGTGTGTGTCATCGGGTGTCAAATAGCGATGACATGGATGCACACATCTTCTAAACGCTTTGCTAGTGCTCGCCATAATGAATGAATAGAGATCGTTCTAACCACAGAAATGCACGCTTCAAACAAAACAGTCAGTGAAGACGAAGAAGAGGATGATGTGTTCTCCCGGTGCCTATTTATACTATAGTCGCGTCATGGCTGTCGCCGGCCAACGTGTTGTTGGTGTTTTTCCAATGTATGCTTCAGACACGGGTCACGACGAGGCGTTCCCCATAGCGACCCCTAGAGGACGCAGATCGAAGTTCCCATGAAAGGGAAACCATGGTTAAACTGTGGTTATACAAATGGTAAACAATATGCCAAAATCCATGGTTACTACACTTTTACAACAATAAAGCCATGTTTAATTTTTGTAAGGGATGACTTGCAGAACAATTTAGTGGATTCACCCGCGTAAATACTTACCTGGCAGGGGAGACACCATGGGGCAGTCGTGGCCTAATGGTTAGAGAGTCGGACTTGTAACCCGAAGGTCCGGTAGGAATTGTTGCGGGGGGGGAGTAAATAACCAGTGCTCTCTTCCACCCTCAATACCACGACTGAGGTGAGACCCTTAAACAAGGCACCGAACCCCCAACTGCTCCCCGGGCACCCCAGCACATGGCTGCCCACTGCTCTGGGTGTGTGTTCACGGTGTGTGTGTGTGTTCACTACTGTGTGTGTGCACTTGGATGGGTTAAATGCAGAGCACAAATTCTGAGTATGGGTAACCATACTTGGCCACACACCACACGTCACTGAACCAGGAAGTAACCGTGCATATAGTCTGTTCGAATTTCAACTGTCAACACCACCATCACACACATATGCACAAGTTCTTAAGAACCCCTTTCTCTCTCTATTACTAGCAAACCCTAATAACCTAAGACACGTGTTAAAGAATGCTAGAGGAATGCTAGCAACATGCTAGTGACATACTAAGACATGCTAGAAACATGTTAGCAACATGCTAAGCCAAGCTAATAATATTATAAAACATGCTAGAACACCCTAGCAGCTCCCTTTCAACCACCCAGGACAACGTAGCAACTGCATAACAGAGGTCAAACTTAAAGTAACTTCAATCCTAAAATCAAGTTTTTTAAACTGCTTCAAACTTTCTGGCTATGCTTTCTAAATCCAACATCAAAGTTTGTTTTGACAACTTTTTTCTTTATTTAGTTACATTTTGAATTTTACAGAACACAGCTTACAGAAATTCACTGCATGTTTCAAAATAGTTTAAGGTACATTGAAAATGCAAAACCTTATAGTATGACCAACTGATATATAACATATATACATATATGTAATATTGTGAAAAACAATTTCACACTTTGCTAATTCATGCAAAATCATGAAATGAATACTAATAATATATTTAAATAATAGTACAATCAATGTAAAATCAATCTACTTTTAACCTCTGGAATTGTCTGTTGACTCTAGCTATGATTGTTGTTCAGCAGAATTGTTTCACATTGGTTTAATATTCAATTTCTGTATTTAAAACAGGTGTTTCATTACTCCTCCTGGAACCAAGAAATTCAGGTAATTTTTTGTCAGTTACATTATTAAATTACATTATTTAAATAAGTATGCTATGTCTCTAATTTTGAGCATTCATTAATGTTTAAGTTTGCCATTTGGAATATGGAAAATCAAGATCCTGCTGTTGTTGATGCAATAAAGGCATCAGGCGAGTCCACTCCGGGAAAGGCTGCAGCAAAAGCACAAATAAAATTTGACCAGTTTGTTAATGTCTCACTTAACATCGCTGTGACTGGAGAGACAGGATCAGGAAAATCCTCCTTTGTGAATGCACTTAGAGGTTTAAAGGATGACGATGTTAAAGCAGCACCTACCGGAGTCATAGAAACTACAAAATTGGCCACCATGTATGAACATCCTGAAATGCCAAATGTGAAGATCTGGGACCTGCCTGGAATAGGAACCCCAAACTTCAAAGCTAAAAAATACCTGAAAGATGTCAAGTTTAACACCTATGATTTCTTCATTATCCTTAACTCAGTGAGGTTCACAGAGAATGACATCATGCTGGCTAAAGAAATAAGAAAACAGAAGAAAAGCTTTTACTTTGTTCGTTCCAAGATTGACAATGATATCTCTGCAGAGAAAAAGAAAAGAGGATTTGATGAGCAGAAAGTTCTTTCCCTAATAAGAGAGTATTGTCAGAAAAACCTGAAAGAACTGGGAGACCCCAGAGTCTTCTTGATATCGTCTTGTGATTTGGAGGAATATGATTTTGAATTACTTCAAAACGTTCTCGAAGATGAACTTCCAGAACACAAGAAGGATGCTCTTCTGCAAGCCTGGCCAGTGTGTTCAGCTGCATCTCTTGAGAAGAAGATCAAGATTTTTAAACGAATGATCTGGGCTGTATCTCTTGTCTCTGGTGGTATAGCAGTCGTCCCTGTACCTGGCCTATCAGCAGCATGTGATGTAGGCATGGTTGTGCTTTTCCTCACAAGGTGCTACTTTGCATTTGGTTTGGATGATAGATCACTGACAAGGCTTTCAGAAAAAGTTAACAAGCCCCACCTGAAAGATCTGGCCAAATCTAAATTTGTTACTGCCATCAGAGAAAAAGCACTGACCAGATTGCAAGCGTCTGCTGCACTCGGTACCATTGCTACTGTTGAATATCTTTTGAGTCTCCTTCCAGGTGTAGGCAGTGCTGCTGCTGCAGTACTATCCTTTGGTACCACTCAGTACCTCTTGAGAGAAGGAGTAAATGATCTGGCAAATACAGCTCAAGTAATCAGAAAAGAAGCTGGGCTTGCTTCTGTTCATTGATTTATGTCCTATAGAGCAGTGTTTCGACTAAAAAAAGGTTGGGAAACACTGCTTATAGAGCATGTAAGCATTTTCTGCCTCTGTCACTGAGTAAATCAGATGATGTGTGTTAAGATTGTGTGCTGATATGGGGTTTAGTAAAATAATAATAATAATAATAAAATAAAATAAAATATATAAATAAAAAACAACTTTATTTTCATAATATTAAAAGAATTGATGTTAATGTGCATGCAAACTATATACTAGAATATATGATCACTTTAATTTGTTACAGCACTTTTTTTATTTTATCCCTTGCTATATTTTCCCATTGCTTTTATTGATTCTGTCGATCTCACATAGAATCATCTTTGTTTTATACATCATTAAAAATACTTTCTGTTGGATTTTCTGTGGTAAATGCAATAAACTTAACTTTTAAACTGAACTTTTCATTTTCATTGATGAAATCTGGATTTTTTTGTCAATATCACATATAACCAAGTATAATGTCTCGTACATAATAAAATACAAAACGTTTTTTATTGTCTCTTTTGTGATAAATGTTTGTATATGCAGTACACCCAATATTATTTCTTTTAAATAATATTTTGCCTAAATCCACTTCTTAAATATACCTTGACTGAAAAATTACTTACTGTACAAATACACTTACTACACTCACTGGCCACTTTATAAGGTACACGTGTTAGACCGCTCGCTAACACGAATATCCAGTCACATGGCAGCAACTCAATGCATTTGGGCAGATAGACATGGTCAAGAAAATCTGCTGAAGTTTAAACTGAGCATCAGAATGGGGAAGAAAAGTGATTTAAGGGACTTTGAACATTGCATGGTTGTTGGTGCCAGACAGCTGGTCTGAATATTTCAAAAACATCTCTGGTTACTCGCGTTAACCATGGTTCTCTGAGAGCAGGGAATCAGACATTGCGTCATTGCTTTGATACGACGAGAAACACCCTTTCTCTGAAATGCTGAAGCCTGATGGAGTCAGGCATACGACTCAACAGATGAGCGTGAACAGGCTTAACCACCACGCACCCCTAGGCCTGTCTAACAGACCTAGATGAATCACCGCAGCCAGCCAAGACATCGCTGGCACCTTCAGCGCTGCCACAAAGTGGTAAGGCTACACCGATAGACTCTAAAGTATCGGGGGGTTGAGCAACAACAACATATTAGTGCATTTATAACACAATCAGCCTGGACAAGCTAATTAACGTATACAGGTAGGGCTGTCACTAACGATTATTTTGGAAATCGAATAATAATAATAATCGGAAATAGAAATAGACCTAAGCAAAGACCTAAGCCTTTAAAATTACCAAAAAAACACAAAAAAAACATACATACATATATATATATATATATACAATGAGGCAATAATACTTGGATCAAATAAAGTGTCAAAAGCACGTGGTTTTGAGCATAATCATATGGTTCCATGGAACAATTTTTTAAAATGCATAATATAAACAATCAATTTATGTAGATTATGTTTTATAACAAATGCCTGCAGAGGGCGAAAACGGCCTGGTGCTGTTACACTTTATGGCAGATCAAATCCTTGTTTAATTTTGGCCAAAGGACATTTAATTAATATGAATGAGCCTATTCATATACACCCAGTAAATAGTGAGGTGAATGTATTAAGCTTAAATAGATAGATATGAAATAGAAAAGGGGGAACTCTATCTGTCCTCTGACAATCTATCTATCTATCTAAACTTTCAAACTGTTTCAAACTTCAAGTTTTTACAACTACTTGAAGATTGTCTTGATTAACTTTTTTATCAGTTATTATTATTATTATTATTATTGTAAAACAAAGAGAGGGATGTAGTGTTGTACTTCACCTTTACAGTTTTTTTTTCAATTGCTATCAAGCATTTACAAATACTTAAAGTACTTTTTCTAAACTCTTAACACAGCAACACACCTACATCACACAATTAGCCAAATAGTTAATTTTCTGGCCAAAACCACCTTTTGTTAAATAAATACAAACTCTACATTTCAAAATGCTAAATACAGTTTTCTACATATACTAACTCTATCAAAACCCAGCAAACCCGATTTAAAATTGAATCAGTCTGTCAAAACACTAGCACTAACTTTCTATCCAACATGAAAATATAGTAAATCCTTGTGCATAGACTGTCAAAATGCTAACAATTAATGGCATTACAAAAACTGCATTGTCATGTTTCAGTTCGACCTGTATAGAACATCAAATATGAAATCCATTTACTGTAAAAAAAAAAAAAAAAAAAAAAAAACTAATAATTCAGTCAGCTGCAAATTCACTCTACATTTTTTTGTGTGTGAATGTGTGGATTCGTTATAGATAGTATGCGTACAACATTGTAAAGGAGTCATCGGTACTTTAAACACACACACACACACACACACACACACACACACACACACACACACACACACAGACACCCATGACAACATTGTAAAGGAGTCATCGGTACTTTAAACACACACACACACACACACACACACACACACACAGACAGCCATTTGGTAAAAAAATAAAAAATACAAATTGCAGACAAGTTGCAGAAAGTGACACAAGAAAGGCACAGAAAAATACAGTTCTAATTTATACGATCTTGAGCATTTGGCCACATATTCTCATCGACATCACACCTTATATTGTCTCCTGCTATGCACCTTGGATAGAAACGCTTAGCATGCCTTATCCACCCCTGGCACTCTTCAGCGGAGATGTCTCTGCAGCCAGCATCCATTGCCTCCAGGAGGGACATTTGATCATGTGGTCGATGATCATAGACTTTCCACCTCCGGGCAGAAAAAATTCCTCCATGGGGTTGAGGGAAGGAGAGTATGGAGGAAGAAAAAGGGAAATCATTCTCGGATGGGCTGCAAATCAATTTGTAATTACATGTGAATGGTGGAACGCAAAGTTGTCCCATACAATCACAAATGTCCTCATGTTTCCTCCCACTTGTTACCTTTCTGCTTCTGGCACCAGTTGTTGGTGGAGGTCATATAAAAACAAAAGAATGCACTCTGTGTTGTAGGGACCAATCTGGCTTTTTTGCAGGACCAGACCAGCACTTGAGATTGCAGCACACATTGTGATATTTGCTCCTCTCTGACCCGGCACATCAGTGGTGGCCCTTTTCCCAATTATGTTTCTTCCTCATCTACGAGTTTTTGCCAGGTTAAATCCTGCCTATCTACATAAATGAATTCATGTGATGCCTGATTAGCCTCCAACTCCATAACTCTCTGAAAGAAGCCAAACACATGATGTTTACTGTAAATGCTTTTCACCATGTGAGTATGTTTACTTGTGTAGCAATAGACAATAGTGAAAAAAAAGTAGAATAGTGTAAGAGTCACTCTAGAATCAGATATAGTGTATAGATACCATACCTGGACATATTGGTGTCGGAGTTCCTTGACCTGCTCACTGTTTCTTTCAAAGGTAAGTGTGTACAGCTGTTTCATTCGCATTCTGTGTTTGTTCAGAGTTCAAGCGATGGTAGCCAGGCTGATGCTTTCAACATTCTGGAATAGCAGGTTCTCCTGTACAATTCTGGCCTGAGTTTTATCGCATTGTCAGCAATGACCCATCTTACAATAGCATGCTCTTGGTCTTCATTACAATAAGCAGCTTTCTTCTCCCCCATAGCAAGTAAGTCGTTGTGTCCTTTAGAAGAACAAAAATGTTAGATATTTGATTTTGTAGCTGCCAGTGACCAGCAGTTATTGTGGTAAGTAGCAACTGCAATTATGGCCCTCATGAAATGCATTACTTACCTGTTGGTTTGTTGAAAAATTCGGATAATGGAAGCCACAGTTGACCATCTGAGATTAGGCTGTACTTTTTCACCTGCCTCTCTCAGTGACAGACCATGGTTTATCACATGGTCTATGATGGTGGCTCTTATTTCATCAGTGACAACAGCTCTCACTCTTCTTTGAACAGCACCACGCATTCTTAAAGGGTTAGTTCACCCAAAAATGGGGCTGTGTTTTACTCACCCCAGAGGCATCCTAGGTGTATATGACTTTCTTCTTTCAGACAAATCCAGTCGAAGTTATAATAAAACTGTCCTGGCTATTCCAAGCTCTATCATTGCAGTCAGCGGGTGTTGCAGTGCTTCAGTCCAAAAGAAGTGAAATAAAAAGCGCCCATCCATAATAAATGTCTTACACGGCTCCAGGGGGTGAACAAAGGCCTCCTGTAGCGAATCGATGCATTTTTTGTAAGAAAAATATCCATATTCAAAACGTAATAATCACTTGAATCTAGCTTGCGCCAACAGTCCTACACGGAAGCAGCTCCGGGCGGATTAAGTATGAGGTCGGCTTTGCACGTGCGCCACTCAGAAGTAACGCACGCGGAAACGCAGCGGAGAAATCAAAACAAAACAACGGTCACTAATTAGAAGTACAAAACGAGGATTTGTAAAGAAGAATGTCGGAGGATTTCGATATAAGCCAAGAGACTGGTTTTCCTTTGCTAAAGTAAGGAAACTTTGCTTCCTTTGATCCTGTTAACAAACGCTGGTTCTCACGAGACTCACCGGCGCATGCACAGTGCTGAACTCATACGTCATCCGCCCGGAGCTGCTTCCGTGTAGGACTGTTGGCGTTTCTGAAGTAGTTTCTTTCTTCATTAGTTTCATTAGATTCTTTCTTCATTTAAACAAAAATTAAGATATTTAAAAGGACCTCTGAAATTGTAAATGTAAAGAGTGCAGATGCACTGGTTTAAGGCTTTGAGTGTCTAAACAGCAGATAACGGCAGCATCAAAATGATAAGGATTGTTTAATGCAGCCTGTTAGGACACTTAAAGCCTTAGCACTTTAAGTGCACTTGCACTATTGTCAGGAAATTGTCAGGAATTACTTTTTTAAATGTCATCATATAAAATTATGATATTTCTTCAGAACAATTCTGGTATGTTTCAAACTGCATGGAGAACTTTTATAGTTTCTTTGTTCTTTTTGGAGTATTAAAGTGATGGTTGCTATTCACCTTCATTGAGTGGACACAAACTGCTGAAAACATTCTTCAAATAACTTCACCTGTGTTCTGAAGATGAACAAGTCATACATGACTGGAACAACATGATGGTGGGTAAATTATGACAGAAATGTAATTTTTGGATGGACTCGTCATTTGAAGAGTTATCAGAAGGTAGGTCACATGGATACAACTGATAAGAAGCATATGTTTCTCTTATTAATAATCTAGTCCTGGGGTCCGTTCTTTGCACCTCGCTTAATACATCTGAGATAATTTGACATATCCCAGATCTTTTAATCCTGATAACTGATCTCTGGCTAATTTAGTTCTTCAAACAAGTTAGCAGATTTGATTAAAATATCTGGATTATGTTGTCTGAGATTATTCCGTGTTGACAATTTCATTGGAAAGGGCAGATATATCGATACTCAAAATCATGATCAGCAATGCTGTCAGCGATTGGCAACTTAATAACATCATATAGTTAAGATCAATGAAACAGCCTATGAGCAAAATAACATAAAAGTTCTAATACAAAAATTAAATGTGTAACCATTTTTAAACGATTCCATATTATTTTTCACATTTCTAGAATGTGTTCAGGCTTTGCATTTTTCAATGTCAAGAGTGTTGTAATTAGCAGTTAATTTAATTTTGAAGCGGATTTGTTATACGTGACAGCATTAATTAAAGCTTCTTAATCCATATGATCTATTAAGTCATAACTGACTGTGTTTAAATTAATTGTGCATCATAAAAGCATTTTTGAGATTTGTGAAGTGGTCAGCATCTCCTGTGATGCATCAAAGCCACCCGCACAAAAGCTCACCGCTCAAATTAATGCACGACTCAAACAAACTGTACTTAATGTGTGTATGACTGCAATAAAATTATGGGATTTATTCCTTCACGAATAAATCTCTCAGTGAGTAAAACTGGTTGTGTCTATTATTATAGGCTATTATTATTATTATTATTAACTTTTAAAATTATTTTTCCTAGTTTAATAAGGCACACTTGTAAGAAAGTAGCAGTGGCTGCGACAGACTTTCAGTATCACCTTTAATTAAAAAGATGCAATCTAATCCTGTTTACGTGAAATAACCTCTTGCTATGACAGCAACTCCGGTATGAGCTTTGAAGAACCTAACAATCCTGGATCATGTCAAATCATCAACAATAAAATCCAGCTAACTGAGTAATCCACGTACGAAGAACGGACCCCTGGTTGGAAGGCGCAATATAAACACTGTGTGGCGAACAATGCAGCAAACAATTTCAAATGACTTGGCCAAAAGCAACAACTGGAAAAATATCCTTGGTGGCCATGCAACTAAAGGATGTTGTTATTGGTAAGGATATCACACAAATGTTGTGTGATATCCTACTGCCAACTGCCAATACATCCACAGGCATGCTGCTGTGAGTATTTAAGAACTACTGCTGCTGCACATGTACATGAAATAACCCACATTAATAACACACATGAAATTAAAGGGGGGGTCTAATGCTATTTCATGCATTCGGAGTTATTTACACTGTTAAAGAGTTGGATTCTCATGCTAAACATGGCCAAAGTTTCAACAAACGATTTGGATGTATGATGGAGTATTTCTGTGCTAGTAAAACTGCATCAAATTTCTGTTTTGTTGGCAATCGGTGCATAAGTGCTCAGGAGTCTTTAGCATTCTGAATCATTTGCAGAGGGCTGATTGCACATGTTGGAAGTCCAGCCAGAAGAGCATTGTAATAGTCCAGCCTAGAAATGACATGAGCCTGGATGAGAAGCTGTGTTGCATGCTCTGTTAGGAAGGGTTTGATCTTCCTGATGTTGTGTAGTGCATGAACCTGCATGATCGTGCTGTTTTTTTGCAATATGATCTTTAAAGTTCAGCTGATCATCATCGTTCATTGCCATCTTATGGTGTGATTGAGGATCACATGATGGGATTGTCGTTGATGAACCTAGTTGGATGGTAAACTGGTGCTGTACTGATGGGGTGGCTCGGAAGATGAGAAGCTCTATCTTTGCCAGGTTGAGTTGCAGGTGATGTTCTTTCATCCATGCTGAGATATCTGTCAGGCAGTCTGAGATCCGGGCAGGTACTGTTGGATCATCTGGTTAAAATGAGAGGTAGAGCTGCATCTCATCAGCATAGCAATGGTAGGAGAAGCCATGTGCCTAAATTATGATGGGTCCCAGCGATGTAGTGTATGGACCCTTTTAGTGTTGATGTCACAATTATGTCACAGCGCTAGCTGGAGGCAAAACAAAGGAATAACTGGAGGCGGCCAGTACAAACCAGCACAGAGTCGGCTACATAAGGAGCTTAAAATTACATCTTATGTTGTTGAGTGTCAGAATCAATGGAGTATTGGCTCCAATTTGAAATTTTATTGCATTAAATGTCTGCCATTGCCAGACAAAAAAACTACAACAGCTGTGGTTAAAGACAATAAAACACCATAGAAAATGTGTTCTGAAATCTTATCTTTTGCTGTTTTATTTCTATTTTGCAATTCTTTATTTTTGTTTGCAAAACATTTTTCTCGCAATACTTTTATTTTCCAGTAACCAGTTTGCTATAGAATTAAGTGACGTCTATGTCTCAGAAAAACAAGCTTAGTGACTATAAACTGTAAAACTTGAGTGAAAATTCACTAGGAAGAACATGGTGAGCGAAAAATGTGTATGAAAATGTCTGTTTTTATAGTTATCAATAATAAAAAGGGGGGAATTGTGAAAGAAATTTAGAATTATGGAAGAAATATTATTTGCTTCACTGTACTAAAGAGTGTTCTTATTTACTGTCTCCGAGTGCTTAAGTTTACTTCAGTATGCTCGAGTTTTCGATGAGCTGAGATCTAATGAGATTTAATGTGTGTGTGTGTGTGCAAGACAAGTGTGAGACGAGAAATGCTATTTTATACCTAGCTTCTAAGAAAATAATTTGCATTAAATACTTAGAAACACATCTAGGGGACATGGTTGGATACCTTAAATGGATACATATGTTGAATATGCATTATGAATGTTTGAGACAGAAGCATAGAAGCATCCTGGTTTGATTAGGATATAAAAAGATGTAAGTCAGAGTGTTATACAGGGTCGCACTCTGCAGTCAACTTGGATGACGGTTTAACTTTTCTTGCAAGAAAATAAATATTCAAAAAACTTTAGTCTCATACCTTTATTGAAATAGAAAATTGCCACGACATAGCATTAGACTATCGGTGTATAAGAGCACATAAGGTATGTGGCACTCAATTTGCACAAGACTTTTGTTTTGACCTGCTTTGCCTTGGATTTAGTGTCCATTTAGTAACTTTCAAAATCACTGTCAAGAGATCATTACCTAAGTGGTGCCTCTTTGTAGATCAGTACCACTATATTACCATATAGTAAGTCAAAAATAGCCTACCACTTAAATTGGTACTAAGTAAATATTAAAAAAGGGATAAAAGATAATTAAAAAAAAAAGTCTATATAGTCTATAGTTATATAATAGTCTTTCTGCAACACAGTTCAATTCAGTACACATGTAGACTATCAAATAACTCACAGAATATTGTCATCATATAATTATTATTAACAAGTATTACTGTTAACTATAGATAAAACTATAGCTGATCAGGCCATTAGATCAGGTATTTACTTGCTCTACACCCCCCCCCCCCCCCCAAAAAAAAAA